CCTGAACTCTGGGCCTGGGCGCTGTCCCTCAGCTCTTCAGCTCAAGGCTAGCGCTCTACTACTTGAGCCATAGCACCAGTTCTGGCTTTTATTTCTGCTTATGTGGTGCTGAGGAATCGAACCCAAGGCCTCATGCATGCAAGGCAAGCGCTCTACCACTGAGCCACCTTCCCAGCCCAGTACATTTCTTATCAAGCATTGTTGCCTCCTCCTTTGTTTCCGCTCCCCCCCCCCCCCCCCCCCCCCCCCCGCCCCTGCAATTAGTCTATTTGAGTGTTGTTGTCCTTATGACTCAACTTTGGTGGGTTACATATCTCTAGTAATTTATCATTTCCTTCTAGGTCTTCTCATTAGATGATATCTAGGTTGCTTAAATAATTTCCATTGACCCTTCCAATTTCTTAATCTTTTTCAATATGGATTTCATTTATTTCTTCTCTCATTCTTTGCCCCCTCGCCCAGTTGATCTGCGATCAGCAAAGTTCTCTTCATTATCATTTTGCCTTGAGATTCTGCTGCAAACACCTCCATGAAATAGCTACTGTTCTTTGATTCTCTCTCCTGTCTGGAAGCTCACCAGGCTTCTAGTCAGATGCACTCTCAGTGGTTGGCTGTTTCTCACCATTCAGATCCTTGCTTCATTTTTCACCTCGTGTCGCTGGTCCTTAGATTGCTCCATTGACTTCTACTCTTGTACCTGACTTTTACGGTCATGCCAGTTGATCTTCAAAGCTTTTACCACTTTCTGGAATTAATTGTTCATGGATTTATTTGCTTGTTAGTCTCTTCCCTCTAGAAGGAACATATAAGCAGAGCACAGTGACCTTGTACATGTCTTTTGTCCAAATGTCTTCAGTCCTTACATGATCTGCGAGACACATGCAAGGACTCGGTGAATCATACATGAGGTAACTGAGGAATGAACCTCTTTTTGTTTGCATGAAACATGATTTACTTGATTTTCAATGAGGAGTGCATTCTCATCTTCAGAGAATCACTTAATTGTAGTATCTAATTTCTGCTTTTATCTAGCATTATAGCTTCATCTGTTATACTTTCCAGTTTAAGAGTCCTTGGATTTTAGTTGACTGTAGGTCTTTGTCATTTAAGTCATTTCTTGTGTCTTTTCAAGTTTCATCATATGTCAGTTAAAATTAGCCACCAGAAATACCATTGAATTTCATTTTTAATTTGTATTAAGTAATGACTAATCCTTTGAGAGCACTTTTGGTGTCAGTGCCAAATCTCAGGTAATTTTATGGGAAGATAAACTTTTCTTGACAACTTGTTAAATCTTGTCATTACTCATATTGATATGGTGGAGGAACGAAGGATGGAAAATAATATTTGACTTGGATTGTGTAAGATGGATAATGAATGATTTTAAGATATAAATGTCACCATGCTTTCTGTGTATAAGCCTTCACTGGTAACTAACTAGCTATTTTAGCTTCTGTAACTTTGTTTCTGCTGTTTTCTGAACAATGTGTGCCATAACCAAACTGAGCCATCACAGCCTTCGGTTCTTTTCCCTCACTCCCTGCCCAATCTGAGGCAACTCCCAGCCCTGGAGGGAAACTGAGGACTTCCTCAGGCAGGAAGTTTAAACTTAAGAACTGATTAGTTGGAAAGCACAAACAGCCTTAGGGCCCTAGGACATATGATTGTACCTCGCCCTCTCCTCCCCTTTCCCCACCCCAGTCAGATAAGGCTTAAAGGCCAAAGTAGGCTGGCACTCACATTTGTTCCCTAGGATCCCAAACTCAAGAATGCACCTGGCATGTCAGTATTTTCTCGCTCAATAACATCTTGCACATTTCTAATCGGGGAAAGTGTGGTCTCACTGCCAGCCGATTTTTGAACCCCACTACATTTTCTGGGGGCTCGTCCAGGATCGACAGTGTGATGGTCTCCCGGGTGAGGTATCCCGTAAGGAGACCCTGGCCTCCCGTGAGGGTCACTGGCCCCACCATGGCCGAGCTGCCTTTTTGCAAGTTTGAAGGCACTTGCCTCCTTGTTCCCAGACTATATTTTTGATCGTGGACTGTGTGGTTTCATTGCCCATGGATTTCTCGGATCCCACTACAATATGTCCATTAAGATGGTATTTTCTCCCCTAAAAGCTTGGATTTTCAGAAATTAATATTCAGATTCTAATATTTGTAGACTGGAACATTTTACAGATTCTTCTACTTAATTTAATATACAGGATTTTTTAAAAACTGCTGTTAGGTTATATGTCAAATCCTGTTGAATTTTATAAAGCAGATTTCTTTATTAAGTGCTATTGCTACTTATCTATACTAGGCTCACTTCCAAAATAGTTGCCTCTCTGTAAAATATTGCCAAATAACCCATTATGTAGCTTTAGTAAAAAAAAATTGTAATATTAATTTTTAAAAATATGTGTTGCTCTTGCTTTTGCAAAGATATTCAAGGTTCTTCTAAAACTTACTTTAATAAACATTTTCTATTTCACAGTTTTGTTCTTTTCTAGACTTTCAGTTGTTTTTGGAAAAAAGAGTATTTTTCCTTTGTGTTTTATGTGTTCCATAGCATATCATTTTTTTGGTATTGTTTTGTTTCAAGCACATTGCCTGAGACTTACTAATATAAGAATTGCCTACCATCTTTACTGACTAAATTTGAGCTAAGGCACATATTATTTAATCAATATCTTTGATGTTTTAAAAAACTTGTTTTTCAACTATGTGTCTTTGGATACTGTCTAAACTTTATCTAGAATACTATTAATTTCTAACAGCATCTCTATTTTCCCATAGTTTTCTTCTCAAATTGTGTTCTACATCTTCCTTCCCACAAAATTCTTGAATTTTTCTCCATCTATTGAGACTCAGACTAATGAATTCCCTTTGAATGTGAATTCTTTGAGATGTGTAATCATAGAGACAGTGTTTTAACCTCTGTAAACACAGCCATTTGTAGATGAATACCTTAGACTAGTGGATGCCCTTTACTAGAATCCTTGATTAATGTTAAAATGTTTGTACATCCAATGTGCATATTCTTAATTTTATCTTTCTTTTTGGTTAATCTATAGAATGATTTGTTATCTACTTTTTAGTGCATTATTTTTAAACATAACTTTAATAATGCAGAATTCTACCATCTATAGCTGGCATTTAAAGAATATTATGATGTCTTTCTTTTAGTATCTCTTATGAGGACCTCTCTTATTTTAAGATACCAGATGTCTAAACTGGTAATTCTGCCTAAGCAAGCTTCTACTTCAGATCCATGCCAAATAAGTAACTCTCTTCTCTTTGTTTATTAGTTCCCCAATATAGGCACAAAACATTATAGAAGATGGCTAAGTATCTTGATCTTTTCTTGCTAATACTAATCTTTCATCTATTCACTCAACATTTATTGCATGCCCAATAGGTACAATGATTTAGTCTGTCAGAGGGATGAAGGTGAGTAAGAGATAATCTACTTAAAAAAAATTACAATCTACTTAGCAAGCTGCTACGGAAAATCCCCATTACACAAACTAGCCAAAGTTAAAAAACAGAATAAGTAATGATGTTAATAAAATAGAACAGAAAGAGGAAAACATTATTCCAAGTGGTTTCATGGAAAAGGTAGAACTTTAAATTTTGCTTTCAAGTATGTGAAGAATATGTAGATGAGAACTCAAATACTGTGAGCCAAGGCCTGTGGCAGGAGAGCTGCAGGGGAAAAAAATGAAAAAAATCTACAATGCAGGAACCAGTGTTTCACATCTGCAATCCTAGCTACTTAAGAAGGTGAGATCTGAGGATTGAGATTTGTTGTTGTTTTGTTTTGTTTTTGTTTTTTTGCTGGTGTGGGGCTTGAACTCTGGGTCTGGGCACTGTCCCTCAGCATTTCAGCTCAAGGCTAATACTCTACCACTTCAGCCACAGCACCACTTCCGATTTTCTGGTGGTTCATTGTAGTTAAAGAGATTCACAACCTTTCCTGCCTGGGCTAGATTTGAAACACTATCCTCAGATCTCAGCCTCCTAAGTAGCTAGGATTACAGGCGAGAGCCACTGGCACCCAGCTTGAGGATTGAGTTTTGAAAGAAGCCTAGGTAGGGAAGTCTGTGGGACTTTAGCCACTTTTGCCCAGCCTGTATCAGGCATTGAACTAGAAGTTTTATATACAACTTCTCCAATGTTGTGCAGACAGATGATACGATTGTTATTTTCCAAATGAAGAGTAAATCTCTTAAATGGAGTTGATTCTAGCATTGTAGTGTATGTGGATTGCAAACTAGTGTGACCAAAATTTCAACTATTTACAGAGAAAGAATTACTAAAGCCATTCTTTATAATTCACACTTGTACTTGCAACTTGAGTTGCAGAACTATGAGGAATAGCTGAAGAGTGAGAAACATAATGTTAAATTACATCAAAGAAAGAATGTGTGGTCACAAATAATCATTGGCCACCCTGTTACAAACATGATGTGAATGTAGACACTTGTATGTAGTCAACACAGACATATATACAGTCCTGTTCCCATTAAACACTGAGCAACTTTAAGGAGATACAGAACATCTTTCAAACTTACTTTTACTTTTGAAAGCACTGAGGGCCAAACATTTTTAACTGTGTTTAAAAAACTAACTTTAGCAGGCTATGGAAAAACAGAGAATTTCAGAGTGTGTTACTATTTCAGCAAGATTCCCAAAGATATATATATATATATACATATATATATATATATATATATATACATATATATATACATATATATATGTATATATATATATATATATACTTGTGAAGAATAAATACTCACATACTCACAGTGACAAATCTTGGTTTAATTAACACCATAAAAAATAACTGTGGTTGGCACGACATACTATTTTCAGATTTTCTTTTTTTAACTATGCCAGTTGCCATTTAGAAAGCAGAGAGAAGAGAACAACTTTCTCCCCAACCAACTTCCACCCTAAAAATAAAGTGAGCTAGTCATTCACTGATAAAATATTCATAATACTCACATTTTGTTGCCATCAAATTTTCAAAAGATTGGGCCCATTCTGATACTTCTTCCAAAGTGAGGCTTTGAAAAGGAACAAAAAGCACTGATTGGGATAAAATATTCCCAAGGTTTGGCTGGACTAAATATTATTATGTTCCTTTGAAAACAACTCCAAAGTATAATCATAGTAAGCTTTCTTTATTTGATGATTTAGCATATATGATTTTGACCAAGTGAAGTTAAAATTGATAGACTAATAAAAATAAAATACACTTCAAACACAAAAATTTAAATTCCTATGCATGCATTATGCAGATCCTTAGATATAAGGAAGTTCTCATTCCTACATTACATGTCTAAATGGTGTTATTGTATGTTTCATTTGTAGGATCTGATGGGCATTTTCCCTGCTCTTAATTTTGTGAAAATCTATCATCTAAAAAGCACATGGTGCCCTCAAAGCAAGTTACATTTGCTCTGAACTGTATAAACAAAGTTATTTTCTGTTTAGAAATCATCTGAAAGCTGCTTGCCTTTTTTCATTTTTGTTTTATTGGTGAGCTTCATGAGGTGAGCTAACAGGGGACTGTGTATTCTCACATGCAAGTAATTTTATTCTCTCTTTTAAAATATTTCATGTTTTCCCTGTTTAAGGTGCATTCTTAATTTTCCTGCTTTCAAAAACTAAATAATACTCAAATAGGACTGCAAATCCAAGCAAGATTTATCCACTAGATGGACTGCTAGTGTCATCCCAAAAGTTTGTCTACAGATATAGTTATCAGCATTAGGTGATTAACACAATGTAAGAAGATAGGCTAAGGAGATTAAGAAAAAAAATAATCCAGACCATAGTAAGATATGAGTAGTCCTTGGAAGTTCAACCTCAGATGGATCCCAGCAGTCTAGGTTGTACTGTTTGATCAATAAGAGGCTTAACAGTGAGCTGTATTAAAACAGTTTTCAAAGTATTTTCCCATGAGAGTATCTGATGTTCTTTCCTCTTATTAAGATCATTAGAAAGAATAACCTGGAATAACCTTTCGACCTACTGAAACAGAAAGAGCTAAGAATAATTATTGCTCATGCATCTGTTCTACTCACTCCTGTTCTACGGGAAACAATAAAAAAATCTACAAATTGCTGGGAATCTTAAAATTAGTTGTTGGAAATTGTTGGTAAGAGAATTCCTGGGCTTCTTAGCTTCATGACATTTATGGAGATAGATCATGGTTAATTATGTTTACAGGTATAATTGTGAAATGGAATTTGGTTTTATTTGAACTTAATTTTAGCTTTTAATTTACTTTTGACTTCACAAGTTTCCTGGTTGCCTACAATTATCCAGATGCTCTGCTAAGAATTATCTTAAGTACCTTGGTTCCTTCCCCACCTGATTTTCCTCATACAAGTTCTCGTATAACATGTCCCCTTATTTCTTCCTGGCAAGTAAACAGTGAGCAGCATTTTCAAATATCATCACGTTGTGAACAGAGAGATGTAGAGTGCTAAAGTCTAAAAGTCTTAGTTTCTAATCCCAGTGCTGTACTTAAGAGTTTCTAATCATATTACATCTCATTATTTACAAAATTGAGAAAACTGTGTCAATGTCACAGAGTTATCAAGAACGTTCAATTTGGTTGTGGATGCAGAGAATTGATCAATTAGTCTTCGATAAAGATGCCCCCTATCCCTTTCTCATAGTGTGTCTGTGAAGTAGGTGGAAGACGTGCAAGTTATGATGCTGATACTCCGTGGATCATTGGAAGAAAAATAAGTCAATCTCAGTTCTCTTGCTGTGTCTTTTTGTGATGTGCCTTTGTACTCAGCAGCCTCACCCAATCATGTAACATGCACAGCTCTTGGTCTATCTCCTCTGCCTACTACTACTGCTTATCTATGTCTACCACCTACTAGTTTGCAGACATTTTTGGATATTTAACCTGAAGCACATAGGACAGGAGCTGTAAACATAAAGATTATATGGCTAGAACTACAATTTGCACTTGGACTCAGTTAAAAACTCATTGTTAAATGAATAGGGATCTTTAACCTGAGAAATTTTCAAGATAATACATCTGAATAATACATCTCTAGCATTTTACTTTCCATTTGAACATAATCACTCTTCTTCTTATTGCTGTAATTTTTTATTTATTTATGTATGTATGTATACATTTATTATGTATGTATGTATTCATTTATTTATTTGTTGTTCATGGGGCTTGAACTCTGGGCCTGAGTACTGTCCCTCAGTTCTTCAGCTCAAGTCGAGCAGCAGTACCACTTCTAGCTTTCTGGTTGTTAACTGGACATAAGAGTCTCATGGATTTTCCTGCCTGGGCTGGCTTTGAACCATGATCCTCAGATCTCAGCCTCCTGAGTAGCTAGGATTACAGGCATGAGCCACCAGTGCCTGGCTGTATTTTTTTAAGCATGTTAAAACTTACCCAGCACTCCCCAGGTTAAGGAAAGAGTTTGAGAAGAACCTGGTCTACATAGTCAAATCCTGTTATAAACAAATAAGCTCCAAACACCTTAGATGAGATTGGAAACTTATTAGGATCTTATTGTTCTTTCAGACTTATAGCCTTCCTTTAAAAATACTGGAGTTTCTTACATGAAGGGATTGAATTGTGAAAACATTTTTGGATGAAAAGAATATTAGTAATATTGATAGATTTTTAAAAATTAAGTTGCTGGACACATGGTGGTTTATACCTCTAACTCCAACTACTGTAAAGGCTAAGATTAGAGGACTGAGGTTTGAAACTAGCCTGGGAAGAATAGATTGTGAGATGATTATTCCAATTTAAAAAGCCAGAAATGGAGGCATGTCTAATGTGGTAGGGCACTAGCTATGAATGTAGGACCTAACCAAGACAAGAGGCCTTGATTTCAATTTCAGTATGGCACATTTTCAAACACACCTCACACACACAGACACACAGACACACACAACAAATTGGCTTGGCTTGATGAATTCTGGTGTAACAAAAAAATAAAGAAAGCCGGATGTTAGTATCATATATGATTGATCTTTTGGTGGAATTACTCACATGTAAACACATTTTATTTTCTACTTAAAATCTATTAAGATTGTAATTACATAAATGTATGCTTATTCATTTTGTTACTAAAATACTTTAAAATGGTAACAGAATTTCAAAGCTACTTACTTCGAAGGAAGTCTGTTAGGTTCATCTCTGCACATCTTGCAAATCCAGCAATTACGCCTGCTCATTTTCCTAAAGCAATATAATACATATGTGTATAATTTAGTCATGAAGATATTTGAATGTTAGTCAATTGTTAAATAATATATGAAATTAAGGATTACAATAAAATAAGGATGAATTCTTGAATTTGGTTCAATGCACTTACAGTGAGCATAAGAAAAACAGGGGAAAAATATGACCCATCTCTCATTTATTGTCTATAAGAATTTGGGTGCTTAGATGTCTAAGGAAATTTATAATTCGTTTATCTGATTTCTCATAAAATGGGGTTCTAAAATATAGAACTCTCGAAATTATCTTTTTATAGTTCAGTGACAATGAATTCGACTCGTAAGTCTTCCTTTTTTGGAGAGTTCTTATTTTTAGAAGCTTTCTCAGTACATAAACAAAAAAAACTGCCTCTTGTAATTAGCTGAATAGAATAGTATAAATGGCTAAAGAAAAAAAAGTTCACAATGTATTCTGTGATTGATGTTGTTTAATAAAGTTTTATCCATTTTGGGAATAGTAACTTTTATTTTAAAATTCAGGTGTAGTTTACTCATCTCTAGTACATTTATATAGCAATATATGTCTCAGGGAATTTTTGACTGTGAAAAAACGTAAAACTTTTGCTAGCAATAAGTAATTTCATACTTAATAGTGAGGGCTAGAAATTGTTTGTTAAGCTTAAAGATAGTCACAGAGTGAATTATTGACAAAAAGAGCAGTGAGTTTTTATGTGTCATTATTGGTTCATTGAAAACAAGTACTGAATACTTGAATGCCAAAGTCTGGCTGCTAGAGAGTGAGCTTTTTCTCCTCTTCTTGTCCTTACTGACGTGTAATTAGACTACAGAAGAAACCTTGACCCAGGAAGTTCAAGGGCCATGAGTGAACACAGGAAAGCCTAGCCACTTCGCTTTTAAATGAAGGTAAAGTGTCCAGAGCTAGAACCAATCGGATGTGCAGAGTGAAAGAGCATGTGCTGAGTCAAAGAGGAGGCTACGTGGTTAAAAGTTAAGAGATAATAGACCTTTCCCTATTTGAAGAAAGGAAACAAATTACCACATGCATTTAGAGCATGGGAGGGGCTGAGCTGAGAGGAAAGGCTAGAGACAAGACAGGATCAATAATTGTGCCAATTATGACCATAGACACAAGAAAGTGATGGGAGATGAGGTTGCAAGGATAGACTGACGTTAAGCATATGCATTCATAAATGATGTGGGTCTCACATTAAGGACTTATAAAATCACTGAAGGGTTTAAAATATAGAATTGTCATGCTAATATTTGAAATTGGCTTTGTGACTAGAGGAGATTATAGGGTAGCAAGAGGGGAATCTTGAAGATTACTTTGAGGGAATTGCAGGTCTCTGTGTCAGGGATGAGGAGGAAGAAGAAATAGAGGAATGGGGGAGGAGATAAATAGATTTTATACATTTTAGAGGAAGCATGGTTAGACTTCATTAGTAGATTGGATATAGAAGACAAGAGGAAGGCTAGGATCAGTGGCTCAGCTTGTAACATCACCTACCTGGAAGACAGAGACAGAGAGGATAGCAGTTCAAGACCAAGCTAGGCAAAAACTGAGTGAGACCATATCTTAATAACAAAGCTGTTAATAAATGGTGTGTGAGTGTTTTCCCAGATATGTGGAATGTATAGGTGGGATGATTGAAGTACCAGCCTGGCCTGGGTAAAAAGCAAGAGACTATCTGAAAAATAATCTAAAACAAAATGGGTTGAAGGTATGGCTCAAATAGTAGAGGTTTTTCTTGCTTGTGCAAGGCCTTAAGTTCAAACTCCAATATTGTCAAATGAACAAGCAACAAAGCTGAGAGGGGTAAAATGAATGAGAAAACAATGAGAACTTGTTGGTACATTGGTAATAGATTGTGAGGGGAAGAAAAGGAACAAGTTGGGGCATATATTAACAGATGCATAGGAGGAACTAAAACCAAAACAAAATATGAGACGTGAGGAAAGAGGGTAATGTAAGAGAAGACAGCCCAAAAAATTGATTAGCATACAAATGCACATTTTAGAGAAAGACTATGAAAAAGAAGCTTGAAGGAGAAAAATCAGAATAATGTGTTCTCAGAGAATGTAATAATGTGCTTATTGAAAAGGAATGATTGGCCAATGGAAGTGTTCAAAAGAACAGAATAAGAGAACAAAGACCTAAAAGAAACTATTAGCATGAATGTCTGCAGTGAAAGTAATTTCAGGGTAGTAGATAGAGGAAAAAACTATGGAAGGAAACAAGTGGAGACAAAATCCAGGCCATTTAGAGCTAATTGCAATTCCTATGTCATCTTTCCCACCAACTTCCTATTTCCCTTCCATTCTTTCTCCTCTCTCTCTTTCTATTATTCTTCTTGTCTTTTGTTGAAATTGTTGACAGACTGGAGGAGTAGGGACAAAGAAGGAGGACTATTGTTTGATCAGTCTGAATTTCTGTAGATGATTATTTTTTTTTCTGAAAAATCTGCAATGCGAATGAAGATGGCAAATGTTAGCCATGCACTGAGTTAACAACCATAGGAAAAAGAAGAAATATCAACAGGATTTTAGGCTGCAAGAAAGAAGGAGGGGAGACTGACAAGTGATGAGGTGACAGTCCAAAAAGACAGTTCTCATTAACTGGAAATAAATGAAGAAAGGTTAAGTGCTAATTCAAGTATGTTAGGAGGTTTGGAGCAAACAAAACAAAGCAAATGGAAACTAAACTTATGGGAGTTATGTTCTGACAGATATGCAAGAAATAATCATTATAAAGCTAAGTACATTTACAGGGAAGAATAAAATGAAAGGAGATTTATGACTTTTGATAGGTTCAAGGTAGTTTAAGCAGAAAACAATTTATTATAGGGAAATGTCTATGTAGCTAGATTTTAGATTATCTTAAATGCAAGATTAAGATGGTGGACACTAGGTTGTTGATAATGGTAATACACTGATGTCTTTAAATGATGAAAATAAAGATAAATCTGACTGAAAATAATTAACATTAAAATAATTGAGCCTGAGAAAACTGTATGTTGACTGGCTGTTCATAATGAGTTGTATATAATTTGGACTGATTTACTAATATAGAGTAGCATAGTTTAATTTTCAAGATTTCTCATCTTTGTGATAATTTACAGAATGTTCTTAGCCAATAGCTATTGATTACTGTCTAAGTGGGAAGACTGTTTTGTATCTGTAATTAATTATCCCTGTCTTCTGGTAGGACTAGGTTTCTGCTATATCCCATTCATTTATCAATGGACTGTGTATGCCATTGTCTCTTCACTTGATCTACTAGAATCCCAGGCATACATTTTCATCTTTCTGTTATTGCTGATCCTTGTGTCTCAAATAGATAACTGTGTATAGGTTATCATGTTCATTTTTACATTCATGGAATTGTTTGGTTAACATGTTCTTCCTAAGTTTTATGCCATCTTAGCATGCAACACTCACTGAACTAAAAAGCAGAAGTACAATAAAGGTACTTTTTGGATTCACTTCAGCAGAAGGGCATCTGAATGCTCATAAGAGGAGCGAGAGTACATTCAAATAGATCTTGTCTCTGAAAGCAGACAGACACATGCACTGAACTTAGCCTCTCATATGCTCTCAAATTCTTTATTGCCTTTTCTCTATAATGGAACAAGAAATACAATATTGAAATAAAGCCTTTCCATTCCAGTCTATCCGATCTTTCTTTAGCATTTTATGCTCTGTCACTCAGGAAGTATTTATGTTAAGCTCTTTTGTTGTTTGCACAGGAAATGTATATTCTGTCAGATTACATTTCTTCCTCATCTAAATTTCAAATAACATTTCTAGTTTTCTTTATTAATTTTATTCATCCTTTAAGTGTGAATAAACTCTCTGGAATCCTTCTCTTCATTTTATTGCCCTCATGTTTCTATTATTCATAATATTTAGTAGCTGATATGGATTTAGAGATAGGTAAATCTGTTAGAGGTTCACACTATGTGTCATTCTGAGAGCTTAAATCTACCAGATAGGTTTTGTTTCTCCAGAAGTGTTCTGATATACCTCTGTCTTATTATTGGAAGGAATGAGAGGACTATCCAAGTAAATTGCCCCATAGGGAACAATTATGTAATTGTCCCCTCTTGCAGAGATGCCTGATGGAAAATGAGGGAGGAAGCTGAGAACCATGTAGACAATGCTTGTCAACTATGGGATACAAATCAGAGCTCTCTGTATCTGGTGGAAATAATGTTCCCAAACTCTAGCAAAAGGTCTGCAGAGACCAGTATTAGCCCTGTGCTGACTTATATGACTAATTCATAGGGACATTACCTGGTCCAAGCCATTCATTACTTGGACAACACTAGAAAAAGAGTGGGAAAAAAACTTTAAGTACATACATAGACACATATAGATATAATTAATGTTATTCTTATGTCTAACCTACTATGCCTACCAAATGAGAAAATATCGTGCTCAAATGTCACGTAGCAATAATACATGATTATTTTTAATATGTATTATAGGTCAAACATTCAGAACATTAGATTATGGAACACAAATAGAATATAATGTCATAAAAGCAGCATGAATTAGAATTTAGAAAACATTTAGTAAAATAATAAAACAAAGGGACCATGAATATTGTGCTTTATGAAGTTCTCTGGTTTTCCATTGGCTTAAGAAATAGAATTCATTGGTTGTTATCATGGTGACAAGATTTCTGCTCCCTGGCACTGCCGACCACCTGGTACCCTGCTCTTTTCCACTATGATTTCTGCAACTCAGTGTTTAGTCACATGCCTGGGCTTCTTTCCTTTCTGCTGATCACTGCTAGATTCACAGTCACCATGCAACACTGCTTTGGAATGTCACAGAAACAATCCTCCCCATGCCTTCTGCTCTGAAACAGCGAGGTAAACTCATCAATATTTAATCCAGGAACAAGTGAAAAGCTCAGACTGGCCACTTGATTTTTATTCTTCCATCCAAAAAACCTGATAAAACTTACAGGATAAAAATGGGCATGTAAGACTTAAATATAAAGGAAATCATAGATTAAATAAAGGGGACAAAGTGAACAAAAATATTTCAATAATTTTGGAAGATAGAAAGCAGATGGAAGAGAAGTAATTAAAATTTCCATGCCTCTAAAATGAGAAGAGAAAAGGCAGCCTTTGGAATTTCATCTGACTAAATGAAGAACATATAATTCAGTCTGAGGACAAAGAAGTTCCCAAATATCTATTTCCAAAATAACTTTTTCTTTAAAAAACTGTCTGCAATCTTGCATTCAATAGCATATGTCATTAAGAAATTTCTATCTATAGTTATCCCAAAATATGAAGGGTAGTATGAAGTGTACTCACATTTATAACTGAGAAGTTGAGAAGTGTGTGTGTGTGTGTGTGTGTGTGTGTGTGTGTGTGTGTTACTGGAAACTTGAAGTCAGGGCTTTCAGGCCTCTCTCAGCTCTACCATTCGAGCCAGACCTTCACTTCTGTGTTCTTCCTGGTTCATTGACAGTGAGAGAGAGCCTCTCAGATCTATCTGCCAAGGCCTCGTTCAGTCCCAAAGCTTCAGATACCATCCTTCTAAGTAGTATGACAAACATCAGCTACCAGCACCTCTCTATAATGGAACATTTTAAACAAATACATGTGTTGATTGCAAAAAAGGGTAACCTCTAAATTTGAAAAAGGGTAATTTTTTAGGATAAGGATTCCACCAGCACATGCTTTAGATAAACTTGTTTAAATAGATCAAAAAGCAAAACAAATGGGGCAAAGTCATTCTCTCTGATGGAGGGAGGCATAGAATTCCATTGTGTATATATACCACATTTTCTTGATCCATTCATTTATTAATATATAAAAAAGAATAAAAATAGTTCCCCTAAAAACAAAACAGAACAAAACAAAACAAAAAAAAAGAAAACATGTTTTAGCCAGTGGCTCACACCTATAATTCTAGCTCAGGAGACTGAGATCTGAGAATTGCAGTTAAAGACCAGGCAAGAAACTCTATGGAACACTTATCTCCAATTAACTACCATGAAAGCTAGAAGTAAAAATGTGGCTCAAGTCTTAGAGTGCTAGCTTTGGGCAATAATACTCAGGGACAGTGCTCAAACTCTGAGTTCATGTCCTAGGACCAGTGAGTGCATACATAAGCACATGCTTATGCTCTCTCTCCCCCCCCCATACACACACACACACACACACACACACACACACACACAAAACAAAACAAACAAGCAAACAAACAAACAAAAAAAACCAGCCAGGCGCCAGTGGCTTACACCCGTAATCCTAGCAGTTTAGGAGGCTGAGATCTGAAGATTGCAGTTCAAAGCCATCCCAGGCAAGAAAGTCCATGAGAGTCTTATCTCTAATAAACTATCAAAAAACTAGCAGTGGCTCTGTGGCTCAAGCCTTGATCACTAGCCTTGAGCTGAAGAGCTCAGGGACAGCGCCCATGCCCAGAGTTCAAGCCCCACAACCAACCAACAAAACAAAAACAACCCAGCAAAAATATGTTTAATTGGATATAGCCAGCTGAGGAAAATGTTAGTTACACTATAACCTTCAAATCAGACTAAAAGTGAAAATAAAAATTAACTCCAGTGTGTCATAGAACTTGAACTCACTTTTGGCAAAAAGATAGCTTCTAGTTTATAATTACCTAAACTGACAAACATAGAACTGACATATATTTTGGTTAAATTCACCATCCTTCACATCAAGTATAACCATCCTTTTTCTTATGTTGGTGGTAACTTTCCATTAGCTTCAAAATAAAATCAGAGTAAAACTGAAAGAACACTAAAAAGATTAATTTAAGTTTCTTATAGAGAGCATATTTGGCAAGGATTTCTATAAATTCCCTACCTTATGACTTAAGTGAACGATTTCCTATCTTAATGATGGATGATAAGTGATTTTTCATTTATTAACCTCCTACCTAAAATGATGTTAAGTTTAAGAATAATTATATAAGTAGTTACACAACCATATATTTAATTTGTACTTTTCAATTGTTTGTTATTTGAATATCTGGTGCTTATATCAACATTATGCATCACAGCATCTTTACCAGAAAATAAAATTTAAAGATATGATGTATCAGCTTATTATTGTATTTGATTTTCAGCACCTTCTTGGTAAAACTGTTTGTACTTTCAAAACCTGAGTGAATTCTGAATGTTTTTATTTCCATTATGGTTTTATCTGTAATGTTTTTAATCTAATAATTATTTGATATAAATGTTATATTGTTTTGATAGAATCTTATAACGATAGAAATATATTAGTGATAAAATTAGTTGAATATTTTATGGTATAAATAGACTAACCTTTCAGTATTTAAATACAATATTAAACTGAATAAATGTATTGCTTTAAAACAATCCTTTTGACAACTTTAATTAATTTTAACAACCCAACATTTAGTATATTCTTTATCAGATTGTATAAAATTCAGAAAAATTTCAAGCAGTTTACATCTTAACAAGTTTCTGTATGCCACAATTCACAATATTCTTGTCCTTTAACAAGGTATTTTGATAATCATCCTTAAGCACAAGAGGAAGGAATGAAAAAAATCAAATCTGTCCTTTAGGGTCCAAATTAGAAATTTTATTTATATATAAATGTGTCAGTTTTAAGTATAGAAAGCCACAGATGGGCCAAGGAATATGCATTTTCAATTTTGTTGGTTTTATTCTCATGTCAAATTCCTTGCTAACTCTTTAAAAGTGCTGCTCTTGAAATCGATATCCACAAGTCATTTCTAACAACCTAACCTTCTTGCATATAGCCATCTTAGAGAATCTTACACTTACATGTAAATCCCACGAAGCAGTCCACCATGCTGTTTTATTTCCTTTCTGTTACGATCCTTTTGAAGTCTTCTGAAATTTCATGAGACACCCAGCATTTTATTTTTCCTGGCAAAAAAAGACTTTACTGTCTCTATAATTACCTTCTGTGGCCCTTTGGGCTGGGCTAGATATGAATGTTCTGCTTTTACCAACACATATCTATGCAAAGAGAGGTTTCCTGAATATGGAAAGTAGTGCCATGTTGCTGATAAAGATGTTTTATCTCACATTATCAGAACATTGGACCTGACCAGATGATTGGAAGTAATCATTCCAATAACTATTCAGTGACACAGTCAAAATAACACACATCTCAAATTTTAGAAAATATGTAACTTGAAGCAAAAACTCATTTTTAAAATAGAACCATACAGAATAAACAAAGCTGCCACTGAAAACTTTGCTATTTGTTGAGGATTACTAAAATCAGCATCTTTAGAATAATCAAATTACTGTGGACATGCAACAATAGAAGGACTGAAAATGTTAAAATGTTCTGTTTTCTAGTGAAACCTGGTCTTCTAGGGCAGGTTTTAGATTGTTGGTCATTACTAGGTTTGTTTCTGTACCTGATCAAATACAAACAAAACACAGTGCATCAGATGAACTCTAAAATGGTAAAAATCCATGGTAAAATCCAATCATATATGCTTGAGTGAGTATATGCATGTTTCTGTATGTCTGAGAAAGACAAAGAAAGTGAGAGAGACAGATAGACAGACAGACAAGCAGACTGAAAAAGGACATGTGAGTTAAGAAATGCTGGAACCAAAAAAAATTACATTAATTGAAGTAAGCCAGGTCCAAAGAAACATGGGTCTTATGGTTTCCCTTATTTGCAATAACTAGTATATGTCTGGGACAAGCAGAAAAGGTCAAAAGCCATGTACATATGAATAGATAAGATGATGTTAAGTGAAATGAACCCCAAGTGTTTTTTTTTCTTTCTTGCTATTGTTCCTAACATATTTATAATGTACCATTTTTGTTTCTTTGTATGTTCCTCCCCTATGGTATAACCCTTGTTTTCACTGTATTCGGTGCCTTGCATCTTGTATATACACTTCTCTAGCTTGGGGAGGGGAAGGTAAAAAACAAAATGTTTAAATACACATACAGATAGACCCATTCTAACAATGAGATGTACAAGACACTATGTTGAAAAATGAACTTTACAATTTAGGTGGGGAGGGGGAAGGCCGAGAGTAGTTGTGAAAGAGAAGGGAGGGTAGGGGAAAAACAAAGGAGGAGACAACAATGTTTGATAGGAAATGTATTCATTACCTTGCTTATGTAACTGTGACTCCTCTGTACAGTATTTTTACCATAAAAAGTATTTAAAAGATAAAGAAGCTAACTAGAGGTAGCTATGATGCAGGCATAGAAAGCATGGGTACTTAGTGTGGAGTGGATTTTTGCTTAGAGCATCTATTTTAACTTGTAGATAGCTGTACAGCTTCTTATCTCAGAAGACATACCTGCTGAGGTGAATCTCTCCAGGATACCTTTAATGTAACCATTAAATTTTTCTTCACCAAATAATTCATTTTGAGAGATGCAGCAAGTCTCCTTTTATCAAGGATTAGACACAAGGAGCTTCCTGGAAACTACTGGAAGTGATACCCTGTAAGAGAAAGTTTGAAAGTTCATTTATATCAAATCTTCCAAATGAATTTAAATCAGCTATCATGAGGTGCCAATAAATAAATGGACTGGTGGGGGGGGGGCACAGAATGGAAGGTGACAGGTTCTTCTAAAGAGATTCCAATGGAGTTGTGGAAGATTTGTAAGCATTTTTAGTTTCCCTGAAATAAATGTAGGCAAATTCGAGTATTGGCATATGAAAAGTAGTCTTTGGTACATGGGAGACTAGGACAAATTCAGAGCTTTCCAGTTAGGGCATATAACAGGATTATTATGCTTTTCTTAGTATTGATTGATAATCTCCAGTTCTTTTTATTTTTTTTCTTTTTTTTTTGAAAGGCTAAATCCTTCTGATTAACTGTGATCTGCTTACTTTTGAGCATTTTCTGCTACGATTTTAGTCAAGTGTTAAACAAAGAACAAATGTGTACAGCATTACAATATCTAATGTCCTTAGTAGGATTAAAATCCAAAATGAATTTAATAATAACTTATTAGAACCTATTTATGTTAAGAACTGTCATTTATATCGAATATATAAGGAAAATATAATTACTGGTTTTTGGTGGTAGCTTAAGAAATAAGTCTACTATTTACAATGTCCTATTGATACTATGCAGTTATACCTTTATGCTCATAGGCAGCACTTTCCAATATATTTTAGAAGTGAGATAAACTTTTACACACTGTAGAATTCTAGTGAAATGCATGCCGTAAGCAGCAGGTTATTTCAACATTTGTAGGAAGATTGGAATCTGCCCATACTTTTCTTGAATTCATGGTAGTGACTGTTAGCCTTCTCTGCCTGAATCTCCTTTTCTCTACTTTGTAAAACAAACTCCATTTGTTTATCTTCATAAACTTATTGTCTACATGAGGCCTAAAACTAAACCAGAGAATGGACCCATCTTCTAGTCTTAGCCTTTCTGGCTTGTGGCTAAGTAAGAATAATTTAACTTTGGCTTCTAATTTGTATAAACCCATAACACAATGGCAAAATAAATTCGATTACAAGGTGTCCAACACTGTTTGCTACATAATATGCATCTGAATAATGATCAAAACTAGCAGCCAGTTCTATCTGCAGTTACTCAAATGACTTTCTTTAAAAAATGGAGAGAGTAAAGGAGGGAAATTATGATCAGATTTCTATATGTTCATGTATGAAAATAAAACAATGGAGATTTCTGAGACTGGTTGTGGAATGGAGAGAAGAAAGAGAAAAGAAAATAGAGCAGTAAGATCAAGATGCATTAAGTGCATAAATTGACATGTCAAAATCAAACCCCTTGCACAGGTAACTGATTCAAGTTTAAAATAGATCATTTTAATTATACTCATGATATCATCATTCTATAAAGATCTATCACTATCAGCCATTCCTTGGTACTATGTTCAACTGTTCTGCATACTTTCTTATCCTCCTGTGAGTCAATATAATAGTAATACACTCTAGTTGGGTTTACAGCCTAGAGTTTTCTGTTTACTCCTGAACTCTCAGTACATCGTCAATCTCTCCTTTCCAAGCAAATTTCAAGGAATTTAGAAATGAATTGTTTCTTCTTATGTAAGGAAGCATTAGCATAGGTAGGGCAGTGCCAAAAGGAATATAGTCCTCAGTTGTTTACTTTTATCTAAGTTATGTCTTTTTGATTTTTGTGTATCTATGGGGTGTATTCTATGGACTCCACTCTGAACTAGGCTAGGATGACTCACAAGGAGAAAATCTGCACTGGCCCTGTTATGTAACATAAGCTAGACCATTCCAGCACTGTTTTAATGTTTTATTGGCTTCTGGTTACTGAAGTACATAAGTAGGGTAGATTTGATTTATTTAATCAAGAAAGCACAGTATTGCATGCCTTGAAAAATACTCTTTTCCTTTTGCAAGATAAATCCTTACTATATTTTCCAAACTGGTCACAAACTCAAATGTTCAGTCCTTTAGCCTCAGCCTCTCAAGTAGTTGGGATACAGGTACATACCAATATATCTGGTTGCAGAGGATCTTTAAAAATGAGATTTCTATCCTAGCATGTTATCTATAAGCCTGGATAGTTGAGAGTTGGTTATCCAGTGTATGTAATTTAGAGCTCAACCTGGCAAAATCAGTTAATATCTGTTAATATCTGCCTGTAATTCAAGCTATGTAGGTGGTTCAGCAAAAAGTAACTTTAAAATAGGCTGGAGGCATGGCTCAATTTGTATATCATCTTCACAAGATTTATGCCCTGAATTCAAACCTCATATTGTCTAAACAAACCAACCAACCAAAAACAGATCTCTAGGCAACTGAAACTACTACTTGCCAAATATGGCTATAATTTAAATAATAATCATTATAGCATTGAATGTCCTTTTTTAATTGTGGTGTTCTTTTACTTTTAAAAAAATTATATAGAGGATGAATGATATTTTCTTCTATATTTTCTAGGTGTTTGGTAAAGATCTGCCAAGATACATCTTAGTTTTCATACTTACTTCATAAGAAATAGTGTTTTATTTACACTTTTAGATAAAAGTGAATGTACTAAAATATCAAGGAAATGGAAACTTTAGCATTTCTTTTTTACGACAGATGAGCAACAGGGCTACTTGAGTTTTTGAAATGAATAATGACTTGAAAATTCAGAGCCCATTGACCTGTAATTATAGTTCTGAGGCCTGTCTGGTTTCAAAGAACCTGATTAACTTATTGTCCTTTACTGCCCCACTGCCCTGTTTCTTTTTTTTTTTCTTTCTTTCTTCTCCTTCTCCTTCCTCTTCTTCCTCATCTTCCTCTTTGGTTCTATAAACCTGGCTTCTTTTGCATATGCAAAGTAGAATAGAGCAAAACAATCTTGTGCTATATTCCCTGTCCTTTTCCTGCTATGGAGTTCAAATGGCTTTTTTGTTTTCCCCCATTTCGCTATTGAAAAACTTGCTGACTTAGTCTTGAAACATGTCTGTCTTCTAGGCAGGTGTGAATGGCTGTGGCATCCATCATTCCCTGAAGCCACTTGGTGTTCAGTGATTCAAGGAAGCATGTAAGTGAAGCATGCATTTGGTGATGACCCTTTGCAAAAGGTAATTTAAAAAGAACCATGTTCAAAATCCAGTGTATATAGTACAAAATTAAGAAAAATGCGAGGAGGATTAAGGCAGGAAGGGACACTGCAGAATGCTTAAAGGGGTATCATCAGTTAAAGGAGTCACATCAGGAATATATTTATAAACTGCCTGGTTGAATGCCATCTCTTATATACAAATATTTTAAAATAATTTTGTTAAGCATTTAAAAAAAGAAAAGGAAATAGGTTTATCCAGCAGCAGGTACATTAGACTTCAAAGGGCATGAAACTTAAGATAGATTGTATTCCTTCTCTCTCTCTTTTCACCTTGCATCAATTGTGTTTGTAGATGTACTGTTGAGGCTGGCTAGATTTCCAGTAAGTATTCAAAGAACAAGTAATGTATTTT